AGGACCTAGAGGCGGAATTATACTTCTTTTTATAGCGCTGGTGTTTACATCCCGTGACGCTGATGAGCCCAGGCTCGGTAGCACTCCTGCTTATAGCATGGTGCTATTTTACAGGAGCGACCAAGCCTTGGATGAGATTTGCCTCGAATGGGCACCACAGAGGAAGGAATAAAAAGTTCCATACCTTGAAGTACTACATCAGCGACAGAATCCGCAACAACGTTGGGATCGTCCGGCGAGAAGCAAACCCGCCCCCAAGGGTAGGATGCAACGAAAGACCGCATCCCAGCCCAATCGGCTGACCTATAGTGCCAAACACGGCGGCAGCCTGCAGGATGCAACTGCGATTTCAGCGTGAGTGGCACCACACTCCGGACAAGACAATGGTCCGAGGAGCCTAAAGCGGTTTCGACGAAAATCTGATATCCGTCCGGGTGCGAGGTCAGCAGAAGGTCCAACAGGGAAGGTGCATGATCCTCCACATCTGGAATCCGCGTAGGCCAGTTGTGTCAGACCATATGCCAAGGCAAAATCATGAACAGATCTACCCGCATGATCGGTTAAACGTGAATCAAGCCATTCGGCGTGATGGGCGTTAAAGTCGCCGAGGATCACGATCTCTGCGGAGGGGATCTGCTGTAGCAACGAATCTGTAGCCATTTGGACGTGGTCGAAGAGTCGGTCTGTTTCGGCATTACCGCTATGGGATCTATAGAGGCACCCGTAGACGCGCGGATCGTCGTCGCTGTCTACGCGTAGCCAAAGGATGGACAAGTCCAAACCTTCAAGTCTGCCGAGGCGTCGAGAACAGATGTCCTCTTGACGTAAACGCAAACTCCAGCCCGAGGCACAAAGGAGTATTCCAGTTTGTACCCCGGGTAGGAGAGATACGAGACATCAGCCGGAGAGGACACCTGCGACTCGGTCAGAAAGAGCAGAGCCGGCCTCGCCGTCGCCGCCGAGGTTAGAGTGAAGTCCCCTGATATTGCAGAAATTCACGGATAGCGTGGCAGGGGTCGCCTTGGTCTTGTTGCTCCGTTTGCCCCGAGTAATTGTAGTCTTGAGAGGAATTTTGCCCCTCCCCCCCCAGAATACGCGGGGCAGCCTGAACACCCACGCTCAGAAGTAGAGAAACATGGCCATGGATGCTCAGCGAGAGATTCTCCAGTGGTGCTGGTACCCTCCTGGGGTAGTCTATCATTATTTAATTCCGCTACCATGTTGATGGGGGGACGGATTTGGGCCTCCGGACACCTGCACTCACCAGACGAAACGCGGAAGCAGAGCTTCCACTTGACGCCGGTATTCTGTGAGGTCGTGGTAGGTGGGTGGGTGATAACCCTGGTTTGAGCCGGCCCATACGTGAAACAGCAAAGCTGCCGCGTGGCTCTACCACTGTTATTTACATAATGTATACTTTCCAGACATTGATTGACCTGTCAATTGATTATTTTTACAAGTTGCGTTTACCTACTACTGGTGTTGTATAAAATCAATTAGTGTTTATAATAACATAATAACTTATCATATTTTCATTTAGAGGTCAGGGAAAAATTATATTAAGTGAATAAAATTTTCAGGTTATAGCAGCTATGAGAAAAGGTTTTTATACTTATTTTTCTTTCCACGAGAAAGTATAAAACCATTAAAAATCATAATATCTAAATAATCATAAATTATGAAGTAAAAAAATGGTTACTTTGAACATTCATAAATCACATGACGAATAAACAAGTTTTTCGTAGTCTGTGAAACGGAACATGTAAAACATATTTTTTTTAATATATTTTAGCATTGATTCTGGGCCTTTGAGCCATTGTAAAACACGTTTGTTCTCCAAAAATCTATTGAGAACGATAAACTTAATAACATTACTTTTTTCCTGGCTTTTTTTGAAAATTCAGTTATGCCATACGAAATAAGCCAAAAAAATGCTAATTTATAAAATATTTTACGTCACTAGACGCGTTAGAAGATTTTTAGGTCAAGACATGATTCACACACACATTCACACATGGCAACCCTATAGATATAAGAGCATGGTCCTTCCCCGATCTAGCCGACCAATTCGTGCTGCAACCATAATATAACTGTAGCTTGGCTCAACCACGCATAAAGAATTTATTAGTAATTATATTGTATCCGCCTGCTATAGCGATTACAGTAACCACATCCAACGATAATCGTATATCAAAACGGACTGTTTTACACTTTATCGTACCGCTGGATAATAAAAGATAAAGATAATAAAATAATTACTTGTATTTTAAAGAATTGAAAATAAATAAGAGCGGATTAACCACAGAATTTAGTTTGAAAAATGGCGCGAACGGTGGTAGCTCTTCTCCTAATCGCCGCCTCTCTTGTGTCCGGAGGCCGGCATGAAAAATATGAAGGGTACGATTTTTAATTTTCTGATTCTAATATTTCATCAGATCTTCAGAGATTAACTACGAATACCCTGAAAAGTAATAGAGAAATTTATTGTTGTGTTTAAACTTAATACAACATAAATTTATGTTCACCTTTTTTTCTTTTTATATTTATGTTACGCATATTTATTCTTTTTTTACACTTTTCCTGCGCAATTAAAAACAAAATTTGGCTTAAGGATCTATTTTTATTGTTCTTGTCCATCTATATTTTTCCTTTTGTGCCTACTAAGCTGTTGTATGACATGTCAATCTGTAGATTATCATGCGTGCATGTCTGTTTTAGCTGGTAGGATGAAAATGAAACGAATTATCCATGAACCTTGTTTTCTATCACCCATGTTGCTTGCCTGTCATTCGCATCAATCAATACCATTAATTACGTATAACAGCACGTAGAGAATATTATGCCACAGTAACGTCTAGGTTTAGCACTTATGGGACTGTAAGACTCCATTTTCATGCAAGTGTGGAAGAAAAATATGCATAGTAACTTTAGTATTCGGAGAAAAAAATATGGCGAGAGAGCGAGAACCCACGTTCTATTTACAGATGTTTTTTACTAGATATCGGTCGATGATAAATATGAAAAACTAATTACAACGGCATGTAAAGAAAAATAATTATAATATCACTTAAACCGGTGTTTTTTTAATATAAACTATTATGTTCTAACTTATTTTTAACCGACTTCAAAAAAGGAGGAGGTACTCAATTCAACTTTATGTTTTTTTTATTTGTGTTACCTCAGAACGTTTTTGTAGGTGAACCGATTTTGATGATTTTTTTATTTTAAAGTTGATGTTTCTCCTATGGTCTCATATAAATTGGATCAAGATCTGCCCAGTAGTTTTTGAGTTAATCTTAATAAAGCGTATTTAATTGACTTCGACTACATTGATAATGTTCTCATTTTATTTATATTGAAGTGGCTTATACAAAAATTTTAATTTTAACACTTGTCATGCACATTTCCATACAGATCGACGTGCTTGATTTGAAAAGATGTCATCCATTGTTTCTATATCGCTTGACGTTGACATGCTTTTACTCGACTCATAATCTACGAGTTACGTGTTGTTAAACAACAACGTCAAGAGCTCAATGTATCACGTGGAAACTTTTTTAGATTTCGGAATGATAAGGATCGCAGGTTTTAAGAAATATTAAGGCTTTTAGTATTATTAAAGATACAATTAAAACATGGTGGAATTTCAAACAATCTTCAATCCTTGATTTTATCTCCTTATGGGTAGAATTGTCAATAATTCTAAAAGTCATGTCTCTATTTGGACATCCACTGCCCCGTAAGGGGTTTACTTTAATAAATCATTAAGGAATTCACTTAGAGATAGAATATTACGAAATTCTTTCTGATGGATGCCTACGTAATAACCATACCCTTTTTTAATTTCACATTTCAACAACATCCAGCCGCTTGGGATGTGAATCTTAATACAATATTTTGCACACAAACTTCGCAAAATCGTTTAAGAACATTTAAGAAAATATTAAATATTTATATTTCATTTTTTACTTCAAGAGTATTTGTACCAGTTATCGAGTTAAAAAAACCATAAATTATATTTTCTTCATAGAAATTTGAAAACTCTCCCAGGAATTATTTTACTGTAAGTTTGAAGTCCATCGCCTCGAAAATAAAACGTTTTATACAAGCCGTAACACTCTATTTTACTTTTTTAGGGATTGAATTTTCAAAAATCCTTTCTTAGTGGGTGCCTACGGCATAAAAGGCAGCTTCTATCCAAATTTTAGATTTTTAAGTCTAATGGTTTGTGATGTGCGTTGATAAATGAGTCATTTCACCTCTAATAAATTCTCATGCTCGTATAGATACATTGCCAGGACGTACGGGCGACGTACCCTCTCCTTTGTAAGAATTATAAGTAGTAAGAACGTTGATCATAGTTCTATATCTATATCATAGTTCTATATAGCCACCAAACTATATAATGAGACACGTCTTAACCTTGGCTCAGTTAAGGGCTTCTAATACGTGATACCCACTGACATATGTTTACTGTAAGCATAACGAGGTCTTCCGGAAATATTGTAATTTTCTTCTGTAATCATATCTAATTTCCTCCTCAGACACCTCTCATGCATAGATAATGCCATGACATTGTAGATCTACGATAGTTTACATGCATATTCCAATTTACGTCGTCATCATCTACTAACTATTTTTGTCCACACAGCACATACGTTTTATTACAACTAATTGGGTTTAATTTTTAAGTAAAATTTTAAATATTTTATTATATTACACATATTTTGAGATTATATTTAGATCAGTACATTTCACAATAAATGTACTTAGCTTGGGCTGTAAAATAAAGGTAATAATAATAATAAATACAACATAAATAACTGTCCAGATTATATTACAAATTACGATAACGCCAAATCCTCCCAGCTTACAGGGAGCCTATGTCGAGCAATTGTATGTATGACGTAACCTAACTAATATTATGACAATGATCTAAAATACAACCTTTTTATAACTTACACGTTATAGTATTAACGTTTGTTATCATTATTGTCCAGTCACCAACTGTATCGTGTGGCGGGACCATCGCAAGAAATTGGAGTATTAGAATCCCATCTAGATATCATATCGCTATCACCAGCAGCTCGTTCAAAATCTGGACAACTTGAGGCCTTGGTAAGACTGTCTCCAGAAGATAAACAAAAATGGCTGCAATACTTCAATCAAAAGCAAATATCTTACACTATAATGGTGGAAAATCTAGCAGAGTAAGTAAATTTAGTAATTTTAATATCTCCCTTGATAATTAAATAATAAAGATGTTCACCTTACTAATCTTAAGAAATATTTTTAATTGGTCGTCATCATCATCATTATAGACTATAAAAAGTCCGCTATAAGACTTAGGATTGATATTTTCCGTAGTTACCAAGCAAAGTTTTTATTATTTTTAATATGTAATCACTTATCAGTAAAATGCTTCTGCCCATTCCTTCTCCTGTTTTATTTCACTCTGCTTCTTACAACACCCACGGACTGGAGTGGAGTCATTATCAACCTTCCTTTTCAGGCGCCATGAGATTTTTGATTTTAAAATTTCCCATAAAAAGCTATTGAACTAATAGTACAGGTTCTTTAGTAGTGCTAGGTCTACATAAGTCTTTAATATTACGTGCCGTTAGAGATGCATTGTTTCCATGTTTCAATACACATAGTTATAAATATAGCAATATGGCAGAAAGGTTAAACCTTTAGAAAAAAATAATAGCTAATTTTGAAAAAGGAAAGAAAAGAAACATATATACCTAACTTGAAATAAAATTATTGGAATTTAGAATTTGAAATACAACTACGAGTACAGCTATTACTCATAGCGGCCTGTTAGTTTATATGCTCTAAAAATCAAATGAATAAGACCTAAATTCATTAATGATGATAATTTTAATTAAATTGGATGAAGTTTTCAATAGGTTTTTCATTCTTATTCTACTAATTACTTTTCAAGTATTCTTCGCGATGAAGAAGCAAAAAATATAAGAGCAAAGTATGACTCGAAACAAAATGGCAGCTCAATCTGGAACGCATACCATGGACATGAAGAGGTACCTATGACAACGGAAGTAATAATTTTTTTTTGCGTTTAATGCATCCAAATCTCAAACCCTTATATATCTTACAGATAAACAATTACCTGGACGATCTGGCCGAGCAATATCCAAACCTATTGACAGTTGTAAACGCAGCTCTGACTTATGAAGGTCGTCAGATCAAATACGTGAGGATCTCTACAACACGATTCGAAGACCCCAGGAAACGCGTGGTTGTCATTGATGCCGGCATGCATGCTCGTGAATGGCTCCCGATACCCGTGGTTCTGAACGTTATCCACCGGTTGGTGGTCGATATAGTGAACAACCCTCAGATAGAGTTATTGGACTGGGTGGTCATCCCGTTAGTAAACCCCGATGGCTACGAATATTCAATCGCAGAGGTAAAAAAAATCACTCATGTTATCTCAGAATCTCTTTTAAAATCGCGTTCGTGAAAACTAAATACAGTTGTTGTGCAAAAGCTGAATTCAAAAAAGGAGGTAGTGCCCTTTTTGCCTTTTATTTGTTTGTTTGTATGTTACGGAATTCTTTTTAATTTAACTTCTTAGAAAACATTCTAGTAGCTTCCTTGCGCTTGTGATTTTCCTTGGTATACACAAAAGATCAAAAATTAAACTTTTAATAAAAAGTAAAATCGTACTTAAAAGAACTTAAAAATTAAATAACTTTAACTTAAATAACAAATAACAATAATAAATTAGTTTCGGAATTTGATCTGAAGATAATATAGTTGTGATAATATAGTGGATGACATACGAGTACAGTCTACTTGATGGTAAGTGGATTCTGCATACCATACACATTTATTCTCCGTTAAAAATCAAAATACAGATGCGTGCAGAAGCAATAAGATGAAATGCTGTGTAAAATGACTTCTAAAGTGCTTAGAAAAAATAAGCCCCGACTCTAAACTTGTAATGTGGGAATTATTTTTAGTTATTTTATGTCGGCTTTTATCTACTTTTAAACAATACTTAATTTTTTGATTTAACATATAAGTTTTATGCTGATTTATTATAATTACCAATAGAGTATATTTTCTCATGACCGTGCTTGGTGGCAATCTATGATTTAGCAATAGACTAATGATAAGCTGTAATGATGCTGACGACACTGTCGCCATGGCCCCATTAATGATGAATGACTATTGAAGAGAAGAAATAAAGTATTGAAAAACAAAAATAATTCAAAACACTGAGTTTTTAAAACAGGGGCTGTTAAAGAAATAAAAAGGAAAGATTCGTGAAAAGTTGAATATGGTTTAGAGTTGAGACGAACCCAGAAATGTACGCAGCGCTCCGTCTGACTTTCTATTTTGGTCTGACAAAACTCATTAAAAAGTTCAGATAATCCCGTAAATGTTAAAGTGGACTGAGGACAATGTCAAAAATTCTTGCAGGATCTATTAGATGGTGTCATAAGGTATACATAATAGTTAGAAGAGGTTATACAATAATAATTCTTCGTATAATTTTCCGTATAGCATTCCGTCGGTACCACTATTTCTGATGTCGTATAATTGTATTCATCATAATTGTAATTTTTTTCAAATAATTAAGTAGTCTTAATGTACGTTATATCTCTACTCTAACATCGTATTTTCAGGATCGCTTCTGGAGTAAAACACGCTCGAAAGGACATGCAAATGGCGACGCATGCCCAGGAGTCGATGTTAATCGCAACTTTGATCACTATTGGGGTACCAAAGAAGACAATACGGACCCGTGCTCTCTTACTTACGAGGGACCATCTTCCTTCTCCGAACCAGAAACTCGCGTAATAAGAGACGTGATTATGACAAATATAAACAGAGCGGTACTATACATTTCGCTGCATAGTTATGGAAGCTTAATAACTTATCCTTGGCGACAGAATGGTACTTTATCTTAACAATCTACTTCCTTACAAATAATAACTCTTTTATTTCAGACGTAGATCCATATAAGTTGTTAGTAATACATTGCGCACATTAAATTCAAATTTTAGTTCCTTAAATGTGTGTAATCACTTTTTAACAAATCGTTCCAATGATCTAGCATGTACCCGTCACATCTTTCGGCGAACACGTTCATAATACTGTTGCGGCTGCCACGCATTCTACGTCAACAGCGAGTACGCTCTTTTACGTATTATTGCGAATAAGTCATCTGTTCGTGTTTCTGCAAACATCCCTGATGCGCTACAAAAGCGAGGTAGCCACAACAGGGCCCTGAAAATCTTAATATAATATATCGTCCATAAGCTGCGTAAAAAGATTGACAGTAGACTTTAAAGAGTGTAATCTTGACTTCTTTGCTGCATCGCGCAAAGCTACTAATCAACATATTTCCACGAACCGACAGTGCCCTTCGCTCCCTCTCGATGTCCATATCATCTTTCCAATTTTCAGTAATGTAGTAGCCTAGATATTTAAACTCTTTTACTCTGCCTAGGGCAGTACCATTAAGCAAAATAGGAGACACACTCATTGTCCACTTTTTTGCAGCTCTAAATACCATAAACCGGCTTTTCTTAGCATTGTATACTAAATCATGTCCAACAGTATAACCCTTACAAACAGTATAACGCGTAACAATTTTACGTACAAAGTATTAAAAAAGTAACAGATAAAACAGTAAAAACACTTCAGCACTTCGAAACACCGACAGGCCACTTGGCACTGACAGTCGACTTGGACTGACGGTGCTGTATTTTTGAATATAATAAAACCTTGTCTTTACGGTCGATATTCGACCACAAAGACCGTAAAGTTTTATTATAGGCCAAGTGGCCTGTCGGTGTTTCGAAGTGCTGAAGTGTTTTTACTGTTTTATCTGTTACTTTTTTAATACTTTGTACGTAAAATTGTTACGCGTTATACTGTTTGTAAGGGTTATACTGTACCCAGAATCGTGCTTTGTGGCATTTCTTCTGGGAGGTCTATGTTCAGCTGTGGACTTGTGAAGGGCTGTTATGATGATGATGAAAAACCCAGCGTCAAAGCTCTTCGGACAAATGCGTATGCAAAGGATGCCCGCACGAGGCCTCGCTTGAGGGAGTTCCCCGCAGTATGGCGACAGATATAAATCATGTTCTTCATTTTAAAACATAGAAGAAAATGCTAGAGTATAATTTAAACTTGGATAGCCGAAATGATAAAATGATAAAAAAAAATCAATTGTATAATGAACTGTACAACAAATTTGCTAGTTTGCAAGCCTATTTTCATGGCATTTCTATCATATAAAAAAGTATGTTAAAAACTAAATATTTCGGCCCCATTTCCGCGTATCAATACTAGCGAAAACATGTTGAATCCTTCCTCCAAATAAAATATTATTAGAAACCAAGAAATCGATTCCAGTAGTCTATAATTAATAAAATTATAATTAATATTAAACAAATGAAGTTGCAATATTCATTTATTGCAACTTCATTTGTTTAATATTAATCACTCAAAGATAATTCACAAGTAGAATTTCTTTTTATTGAACCAAGTAAAGAGGCGCCACTTAACTTAATGCTTGTGAAATACTTTACTTATAAAATTACAAAGTAAATAAATTTTATTCTATTTTTCTTCAGGTACTCTTCCATCAAACGGTCTCCTCCTGAATGTTGCCGCATTAAGAATGGCGGCAGCTATGGATAATATGGGTATCACAATAGAACCTTACACAATTGGTAACGCCGCTTATATCCAGTACTTCACTACTGGAACTTCTACTGATTGGACTCGGGCTGTTGGCGTCCCTTTCCCTTTTAACATTGTACTTCCTGGTAACGGATATGGTTTCCTATTCCCGCCAGAAAATATCGAAAACATATGTGCCGAAGTTTGGGAAGCTATTATCGAGGGAACCGAATACATTTTGTCTATTTACTAATTGCAATGTAATAAAGTATATATTACATATATAATTTAATTATATTAAATAGCCTCTCATTTATTACTGCATAAGCTAAGTTAGTATAGATCATGTGTAACCTGTGTAGAGCGCATGAACTGAATAGATACCAATTAACTTCTAATGACTAAAATGGCAGTGACAATACCGATTTAAAAAAATCAAAAAAATTATATATCAGAAGTAATTCCAGAACACAATTTAATTTAAAATAAAAATAGATAGCTAAATCAAGTGGAAATAAAACAATTACATTGTGAAAAAAACAATTTGTGACGATACCTAACTTTCGCGCTTGTGATAACATTTTTGTTAAATCATCAATAAATAAGTATTAGACAAACTCCAAAATTTTCGACAAATATAAAGTTAATTGCGTTTCATTTTTAACCGATTGTATTAATAGTAATAATCTCTATACATTTAGATCGAGTACTCAGAAGTTTCTAAAATCAATTGTAAAGTACTCATTTTCCTAATTTGCTTCAACACTTTATCAGTTTTTCGTGAGTTTATAAATGAAATTGGAAAAATGTTAGTATGATCTTTAATTATATATAGATGGTGTACACATAACTATATCGTATAAGATTATTCTTGTCCTTATCATAGATTTGTTAATGATAAAATTACAAATGATAAAACAAAAAGTGCTCATGATTGTCCCATACAAAATATACAAAAATCAACCATTCTGTCCAATTAAAGCTGAAAGTGTATTCCTTGGATACTTGGATTCAAAGTAAATCAAAAATTATTATTTAAAAGTAGGTAAAAGTTTTGGTATTAAACTCTTTTATGACAAGAACCGATTAATGAATTTTATTAAGTTTTTGTGCATGGCAGCACTAATGAACAAAGCGAAAACTGTGTAATGTAGTAACCCACACGACATTTTTTACTACATAACAACCGCCTAATTATACTCGTTCCCTACCGGAAAAAACGTCTGTCCTGGAAAGAACCAGCACGAAACTAAGTAGGACTTTTTTTAAACAAAATAACAGCTTACAATCATTTATATTACACAATTAATTAACACAAAACAAATTAAAAATAGCTTGATAGCAATCACCTCATTCCAAGGGGTTATGATTAATAAACTCGTTAATATTACAATAACTCTTTTTATACAAAGTTAGCTCAATAACATTTTTGAACTTTGTGCAGGTCAAATTTTGTATATTTTCTGAGATTTTGTTGTAAAAGCGTAAACATCGCCCCAAAAATGAACCTAAAGTAGAAATTTAAGTGTAAACTTCGGCGATAACTTGAAGTTTACCCAATTCAAAAAAATAACGAGACAATTGTCTACAGTTATCAGAGCTAAAATTTTGAATAATTAATTTATGTAAGGGCTCAACATCAGTAAGAATACCATCAATACAAATTTCTCTAGCTCCTGCAACACGTGGTGGTCCCAAGAACAAATTAAAAAGGTTGTATGATTTGAGCTAAGATCTAAACTTAATACTACTCATGGGAGTAGGGACATACTAGGATGGATTTACAATACAATACATTACAATATTCTTTATTATGTACCAAGAAAAGATAAATATAACAAAAAATAAACAAATAATGAGGGACAACCCAGAAAATAATAAAATAAAAATAATAAAAAGAAAAGTAGACCGCACTAAGACAAAATACAAACTTATATACTAAAAAGACAACATTCATCAAATAAATTAATGACCATAACTAAGAGGAGTAAGAGAAAGAGGGGAGTTAAAGAGACAAATATAGTACGTGAGGGTAATATGGTCATCCGGTTAATATGGTCACTTTTTATTACTTAAAAACTACAGTCTTGTTTGCATAGATGACTCTGATGTACATGTACTCTGATGTCATGTGATGACTCTGTGATACGAACGCTCTTCATCAGTCAATCAAATAATAAAGCTTTATCGACGTCATTTTGGTAGTTGACATTATAGTTAATATTTTAGTTGATTTTAGTATTGTGTAATGTAGTTAGTTTTTTTTAAGTTGATTTTTCAAAGTGTTCCTACTTATTGCCAAAGCTTGTTTTCTATTATTTTCTTAATATATTAGTTATAGTATACAACTTTGGGTTTTTGTTTTTGGTCTAATTTTGGTTATACAGGGCAGCAAAGCTTAAGGTGACCATGTTACCCTCACGTACCTTCCTTAACCCGTTTCTTGAATGCATTTCTGGATTGATCACTTTTAATCGACTCGGGTAAAAGGAGTTCCAGAGGTTACTCCAAGAACAGCCATTAATAATAAAAGTCGAGGAGCGCACAGGACATTGGAGGGAAAAATTTCTTTGGAGCGAGCGTAAGGAAAAATCATGACAGGAGCTAAAAATTTATTTTATTATATTAACGTTATTTTAAATAGGGAGGACTTGATATATTAAATAAGTATGTGGGTATTCCGACGAAGACGCATTGAGGGCCAATTGAGTTTAGTGGTGTATACCAAGATACGGTCATATTTACGAAGGCAAAATATGTACAGTATACACAGACTTTTGAGTTTTTAGCTTGGAGACGCTCAAGATTGTTACGTCGCTCCCCGGTAATCAATAGTAAAATTGCACAAGTGTAATTTTGTGGAAATGGGTAAAAAGTAGTTAAGAGTCCGGAGTAAAGCATATGCTGCAAACATTTTACGATTCACTGCATTCATTAGGGGAGTCCAAGAAAGACTGGGATCCATAAGGATACTTAAATTTGCAACAACATTATTATAAAGAATAGGGACGTCATTAAATACAAGAGTTGTAGTTGACATTTTTTTTATTTTAGAAACCATTTTTCAACTACCCGTAAATATGGCTCGTGATTTTAAAGAGTTCACCGTTAACCCATAAGACCGAACTCAGTGGAGAAAATAACATACAAATCCTTGTTAATACATTCAACTGTTTTAGGAAGATCTTCAATGGTTGTTTGTAAATATATATTGAGATCATCTGCATATAAGTGGTACATAGAAGATATTTAGGATGTAAACGTATTAATAAAGATTGCAAATAAAAGAGGAGGTAAGATGTCACCTTGTGGAACACCAATACGGTATCAAGTCACGGAGAAAGTCTATCTTGGATTAACTAATATATAGCAAATGCCCACACAAATAATTATGAAACCGGGAAATTGCAGCAGGAGAACGCGGAATCGAAAACAGGATATCGTGATCAACAGTTTTGAAGGCAATGCTGATATCCAGCAACACTAATACTGTGCCTTGATGATGCTCCATACCGTGGTCAATGTAGTCTGTAATTTTTAATAATGCCGTAGTTGTACTATGACTAGACAACGGTCATGTTGGAGACTATTAGTTTGTTTTTGGACAAAGCGTTCTAAAACTTTGGAAAGGAAAGGAAGAATCGAAATAGGACGATATTCAGTAAAACTTAAAGGATTTGCTTTTTTGGGGTAAAGGTATGATTTGAACGTTCTTCCATTGAGAAGCAAAAGAAGATGAAAATATGAAAGAATTTAAGGAATATATTACAATGGCTGTTAAAAAGTCTAGCAAAAGAATGATCATTTTACGACTGAATGACATTAGCAAGGTAAATCTCGTGATAAGATTTTATATCATATAAATTGCGTAATGTAATAAATTGATAGTTTATTTTTTTCTTTTTAGAGCATTGATATGAAAGCTTGTTTTAAAAAATGTTTTTAAGATTTATTTATTTTTTATTTTTTAGTTATCGCTGGACATGTATCATTCATTAGTTTATTTCATTTAATGCGTCACTTTTTTTCGTCACCATCTTATATCAACCCAAATTGGATCTTGATTTTTTTTATCTCTAGCAGTTGACCCTTGTTGGTCCCTGCAACGTTTGTTCGAGCACCACTTTCCTTCCAACCTTTGGTGAAAACTCTTGAAAATTGGTATGGCAGCCACGTTTTTCGTCATTTTGATTTTTTTTTTGATCTTGAAAAATATAGTCAGTCATGGGAGTCTTCTTAAGTAGTCTTTAGGAGTGCTTTTAGTGTTACGCCATTTTATTCTGTATTCTCAGCAAACCCTTTCATTTGATATCCATATCAATTTATATTATGGGAGTGCATAGAAAGTAACTTGTCCGCCATCTTGGGCAGCCCGCCATATTGGATTTGGAATGATATCGTTTAGCTAATCATGCATTGTCATCCAAAATAAACAAAATGTATGCAAAACATCAGCTCAACCAGATGAGAAAAAGTGCTTTAAAATTCAGTTAATGACGGCACGTTTATATAATACCGGTTGGATTACGACACTAGCGTCATATCGATGGTGGCGAGATGGAATTGAGGGTATATCGAGAAAACCCTCCCCTCCCCGCCCCCACTTGTTTGTGCAGTATTAAGTTCACTGTATGCGTCATGCGAAGGAGATTCTGTTTGAGTCATTTTACGAATGAAGTCATCATTCAAATGCTGAAATATTGTAGTCGTTCAGTCCGTTATGGTGATTCTTATAGTGCAGGCAAGGATGTTGATGATGTTGCTGAGAGGCTGCATTGTGTTACACTGAGATGGGTTGTGTTGATGTTGGTTTGCATACTTTGGTGTTATCGTGTAATTACGTCCCTAACGTTACACTCGTGTGTGATTGTGGTGAGGGGGGTGATATATGTATAGATTAATATTGTACTATGTAGGTAGGCGCCACCGCGCGTCTTCACTAGCCAGTCGCTCAATACATGTTATGAAGTCATACCGTGTTTTATTATTTAAATACCGAGTTACCCAGGATATTTCAGTGGCGACGAGGATAGCAACGAACTCTTGGAAAAGTATTTATAAACGACAAGTATTTATTTAAAATGTCGATTGGAAAAATTCCTGAGTTTGACCTACATAAGGACGATTGGAGGTCATACGTCGACCGCCTCGAACAATATTTTGTTGTCAACAAAATTTCGCAGGATTTACAAGTTCCGACGTTAATTACCGTGATGGGAGCCGAGTGTTACGAACTGTTAGTGAATTTATGTA